AATAAATTTTGTGATAATTTTTAATTGTCACACAGTTTACGTATGAAAGCCATTCATCTGCGATGATTAATTGAAATTGAATGATTAGAACTCAGCATGCCGGGTTCAAGTCACAAGCTACGAAGATTACATAAATAATTATATATGGGAAATGTCACACGGCATTCTGAATTCTACTCGGATAATAAATATCTTGATAAACAATTTCCACACAGTTTACATAACAATACCATACCCTATGCGATAATTAATAAATAGATATGTAAAATATCACTCAATTATATAAACGGAAATAAAAAAGGAGGATGCATTATTGTACCATGTAAACGGTTTAGAATAAATTTTGTAATAATTTTTAATTGTTACATAGTTTACGTATGAAAGCCATTCATCTGCGATGATTAATTGAAATTAAATGATTAGAACTCAGCATGCCGGCTTCAAGTCCCAAACAACGAAGATTTCATGAATAATTATAATTTTTTACATGTAAAATGTCACACGGCATTCTGATACTAGAGGGAATCGGCTCAGAATTAGTAAGACAACTATACTATTAACAGAAATGATTGATAAATATACTCGGATAATAAATAACTTGATACCAATTTCCAAACAGATTACATAACAATACAATATTCTATACGATAATTAATAAATAGATATGTAAAATATCACTGAATTATATAAACGGAAATAAAAAAGGAGGATGCATTATTGTAACATGTAAACGGTTTAGAATAAATTAATCGTCACGCAGTTGACGTATGAAAGCCATTCATATGCGATGATTAACACATATTTGTTAAATTATTACCCGATATACACTTATATAAAACGCAAGTAAGGGTTACTATAACGTATGGACTAGAGAAAATATTTAGTTACCCTAGATTTTCACGCAGTATATATATGTTGGAATGCGACACCGTATTAATTGATTTCATCCAGCTCCCCTCACACCTGGAATACAGCGCGATGGCAATGTCTGCCGGTCTCTACCAAACCTACGTAGTTACACGTGTAGACACTATCAATACACACACGTGTATTTCGGCGACCTAACTACGCATTTTTAAAATACTTAATTATTAGTCCTAAATGTAAAATTTTACTTGTGAAATTTAAAAATAATGTCTAGGTAGAAGTAGAGTACATTTTTTTATAGTAAATCCTCACACTTTTTATCCACGCACGAATTTATCTTCATCATGATATAGATTTACTCTTATAAATGTATCTTTAATAATAAACCCGATACACATTTCAGCATTACAATGTCTAAATCATTATCAATATAATGTTACCTGTGTAACGAGCAGCCCGCGGGCGC